GTTTAAGTTGGACATCAGGAGGCGCTACTTCACGGTCAGGGCGGCTAGGGTCTGGAACCAGCTTCCAAGTGAGGTGGTGCAGGCTCCCACCCTGGGGGTTTTTAAGAGGAGGTTGGATGACCACCTTACTGGGGTCGTTTGACCCCAGTACTCTTCCTGCCATGGCAGGGGGTCGGACTAGATGATCTGCTCAGGTCCCTTCCGACCCTAGAAACTATGAAACTATGTTTCTCACACCTCTAATAGCTTTTGTTGCTCTCTGCTGGACTCCTTCTGATTGTCCCACATCTTTCTTGAAGTGTGGGTTCCAAAACTGGACACACTACTTCAGGTGAGGCCTCACCAATGCTGGTGGAAGGGAGGTGTGGCATGGCACTCTATAGATGGTGATTGCAAGACAGTATAATGCAAGGTGTTGGTTCTGTTTTAGAAAGACCTGTGAGCAGGGTTAGAGACAAGCATGCTAGAAAAGAGAAAATAAAGACCCCAGGAAAGGTAAAGCATGAAAAGGTCTGGGGCAACAGACAGTGGTGTAGGCTTGAGGTCTGGTGTTGGCTCCTGTGTTTGCATAGCATGGTGATGAGTATTAAAGGTTCATTCTACCCCTTACACTCCCAAGTGCAGAGCTTTAGCTCAGGCTATAGTTGCTCATTTTTAGCTCCAGAGGCAACTGATTCAGTTCCTGGTGTGTTGTTGCTGCACTTGCTTAGGGGCCTTACTTGGGAATTTCCAGTGGAGGTAGCTATGCTGCTCCAACAGAGGTGCTTGCTGTAAGCTTGGATGGGCCAAAGAAGGAACTGCTTAGCCTGAGAAGAGCTAAGACCAATGTCTTCTGCCCTGCATCAATGAGGTAGGAGATATTTGAGCCCAGGGAGGACAAAGCTCTGTTTTGTTTTGACCTGTCTTATGTTACCCAGGAGGACCAAAGCTTGAACAAACTGACCTGACTGACCCTGCTGCAGGTAGGAGACAGCATACCAGGAGAGAAATGGGGACACCTCAGGTACAAAAACTGAGGTATGGCTAGGGTCACCATATTTCCAGGTCCAAAAAAGAGGAC